CTCTCTCTCTCTCTCTCTCTCTCTCTCTCTCTCTCTCTCTCTCTCTCTCTTTCTCTTTCTCTCTCTCTCTCTATCTCTCTCACTCTCTCTCTCTACCTCCCCCCCCCTCACTCTCTCTCGCTGCATGTCTCTCCCTTTCTCTCCCTCGCTCTCTTTCTTTCCCCAGTCTGTTGTATAATATATATATGAGTGTGTGTGTGTGTGTGTGTGTGTGTGTGTGTCTTTATTTGTTTGTTTGTCTCAGTCTCTCTATCTGTCTGTCTGTCTGTCTGTCTGTGTGTATGATTGTATTCCTCTTTCTCTTTCTTTCGCGTTCTTTTGTTGGCTGTTCTCTCTCTCTCTCTCTCTCTCTCTCTCTCTCTCTCTCTCTCTCTTTCTTTCTCTCTCTCTCCCCCCCTCTCTCTCTACTCCCTCTCCGTACCTTTTTATTTTCGGTCGTTCTCCCCCCCCCCTTCCCCCATTCTTTTTCTCCCCAGATCGTGGTTTGCAATCTTACCATTATGTCCCTCTATTCCTTAACTCAAACTCCTGTTCCATCCTCACCCTACATCCTCAATCTAACCATATTATTGTTCATTGTCTCTATTGCTCTTTATATTATTCCATTTCTCCTTATTGCAGAAATGCGAACAACGATGTCTGGCAAGTGTGGATTATTACGTTGACAAAAATTGGATATTCGGTCAAGTGGTGTCTCAAAAAAGGGATCAATCTGAAGGAAAATAAATCGGTCATCTTTGCATCAATTTCAACAAAACTCCGAAGAAATTTTAAGCCAACCAAGAGGACATCGAATTTCTTAATAAACAATATGACTCAAAACGTGGCGTGTTTGGTTCGTTCTTATTCCAGGGTGAGGACTGTGAAATGGTGAAATGGTATGGGTTTAACGCCCCTATCAACACTATTATGTTATTTAAGAGGCGGGGCTTCCGAGTTTAACGTCCATCTCCGAAAGGACCGAGCAAAATGGGAAATTCGTGTAAAGTGTCTTTCCCAAGGACACAACGTCGGACCGATCTGAGGCTCGAACCCCCGAATCCGCAATCAGTGGCGAAGCGTCTATGTAATCAAATAATCACTGCTTCCCTTCCTAATTTTGAACCATTGTCGCAGTTAAATTCCCCCATAACCGTAAACCTCATAAATTAAATGTAAAACGACGTTCAAATCAACAATGAATAGTATGTCAAACATTCAAAACGGTTTCAGTGCCATAGAAATAGCCTGCTCACCCCTTTCGGGTCACTCCATAAGCAGTCACAAGCTTTGATTAAGTAAGCTTAAAGTGAGGCTGGAAGAGTCTACCTATAGAGTTGAAGGGAACATGTGCACAGCAGTCAAAACTGTTTCATTGCGGCATATACCCTGTTCACCCCTTTCGGGCCACAGTAAAAGCAGTCGCAAGCTCTGATTATGTAAGCTAACTATTACACTGGTCGGGTCTACCTCACAAAAGTGAGGGAAACTAACTCCTAATAATCTCTTGACTGCTGAGAGTGCTTGTTTTTTTCCTCGACTTTTTACCGTCCTATAATCAGATCATGACCACGATTATGAAACAAGCTCCTGGCCGCGAAAGGCTAGACAAAAACAGCCAAATGTGAAATTTAAAAAATGATAATTGTCATGTTCTACCAAAGAGTTTAGACTCACTGGTATATCATGGATCTAGGGCTGTCATCTCTGCTTCTTCGCTTTTTGTTTGTGTATTCACATCTTAAGTTAAATTTAACTTTAGTTGGAATTGATATTTGATGAGACACTTTCCCGATTATTTTGGCGGCTGAACATACAGTATTATGAATTCCGGATTTGCTTTCATTCACAATTCACAACTCAGTATCGCCGCCTCGAGTAAGATTCTTGTGTGATATCTCCAGGCCCTCTCTGGTCCCGTTTTACTTTGATTACCCTGTCAAACAAGTCAGCCTTCGCCCTTGCCCGCAATCTCACGATTACGAAACCGGTAGCCTAACCACTAGGCTACCGACGCCAGCGTGAGGACTGTAAAAACCACGATCGTTGCAACAGATAATTATCATCGTGCTGAGAAAGTATTGGAGACGTTTGTGGAAGAAAACATGGGGTTATGTTGTTTAGGTTCCAGTTATAATAATAATAATAATAGATAATAGATAGTATATTTTGTATAGCGCAAATCCCTGCTCTACAGCAAGCTCTAAGCTCTTCAAACCTATACTATTACCCCAGCAGACCTGAGAGCATTTTGAAACAACATCAACTTCCTGGGAAGCATACAGCGCAAGCAGTCGTTTATAGGCGCTAAAACACTAACATACTGACAGTAGGGTGGGCGTCACACCTCACACATCAAGAGTGTGCCAACGTGGTTGCAAGAAAGGTTTGAGGAACGCCGTGTAAGTCGAAAGCTTACAAATTATGTACGTTCACTGACTGCATTTCCTTGACCGGAGTCCTATCGATTACTTGTTTTGGGTTATTTTGTTTGTTTTAATTTTTGTTTCGTTTGTTTTCTTTTTGTTTAGTTTTTGGTAGTTGTTTATTTTTGTGTGGGTTTTTTCTTCGAAAGAGTGAGAGTCTACGGAATCAGGATGTCCCAAAAAATTGACTCAGAAACATGGCACAGGGTTATTTAAAATGATAGCGTGTCTGGAGAGAAATGGTCAACGCCCGGAGCATACATTGCTAACAGCCAGCGCTTTCTCTGGTTGCATTTGGAAATGTCAGTTTCATATAATGTTGTTTTATTGAATGTTATTCATTACGACTGGTTTTTATAAAGTTGCAATATTTTGCGTTTCACTCAAGTTTTATTTTAATTTTTTTTCTTTCAAACTGGATATTTCCCGGACACGTACATTGGTTTACGTCACATTGACAAATTTACACCACCCCCTCC